AACTGAGACAGGGGTGAACCCGGCAGGCCTGGCCCTCCTCCCTGAGAGGCCCTGCAGCCACAAGGCCCACCTGGGCACCGTGCCCAGCGGCCTGACCAGCCCAGAGAGCCGGTCCAGCCAGAGTGAAAATCAGCCCAGAAGTGCAGGCTACGGGGGCTCAGGCCTGCAGAGTCTGTGGCCACAGGAGGAGGGATGTATGTGCAGCAGGAGGGAGCCCAGGGGTCTCCTCCCCAGCCCTGCCCTGGAGAGCTCCCTGGGTGCCACCAGCCCCAGCCGCCTCCACCCCCTGGACAACCCCGAGAGCCAGGAGAGTCCGGAAGCAGAGGACCGGCCATCGGGTGATCCCTTCAGAGAAGCAGCTCCAGGGCCGGGAGGAAGGCTGCAGCTCGGGGAGAGGAACTGGGAGGAACGGGGGCAGGGTGACAGAGGGGACAGCATTCAGGTGGCCGAAACCAACAATGGATTAAGAGTGAGGGAGAGGGAAGTACTGAGAAGGCCCTGAAATCAGACACCAAGGCTCCAAGGGACCCGCCCGGCTGGTGGACTTGTACCAGGTGCAGGGACAGAATAGTAGCCATCTGGGGACACTGGCCGCCGGCCCACACAGTGGGGCTGGGAGGAAGTGGAAGCCTGGCGCTGGGAGAGGTGGACAGCACAGTGCAGGTGACCACAGTGCTGTGGGCCAGGCTGGGGGCCCTGCAGGCAGGATGACAGGCTCCCAGCTGTCATCCAGGGCCAGCTGGGGGAGGAGGACCCGCTGGATCCTCTCTGCTAACCCTGGGGGTTTCCTGTGGGCAGGAGCAATGACGGGTGAACTAACTAATGTCAAAGACCCTCTCTCAAGGTCACATTCTGGGGTCTGAGTGAACAGGAGTCTTGGTGGAGGGGAACCTCTTGAACCACACACCTACACGGCAGCCCGACGTCGCCGAGGGCCGAAAGGTGATGTCCCCGCAGAATCGGATCCCGTGGGCCGGCTTCCCAGCCTGCGATGGGGCTCCACAGCCGTGCAGGCCGGGCCACCCTCCTGCCGTTCTTATGTGTAGTGTCCCCCCGCCCTGCCCCACGCAGCAGGGCTGTCCATGAGGAGGCTGGTGACGTGGCTGTTGGAGGTATGTGGTGTCTAAGGGACTGAATCCTTGTCCCTGTGCCTAAGAAGGGGCTGCTGATGACAGGGCTGCACAGCAGCCAGGCCACCTGCAAAGTCCTTCCGAGTGCAGCTTCACACCCCACGCTCCTCAAAAATTCACCGTCTGAAAAGATCTACTCGAAGTCCCAGGAAGAGCACTCAGACTTTGGCTGGGACAACCTGATGGCATTTTATATAAGAAAATCAAGGTAGTAAACACGTGTTGTGGGACACGTATGGCAGGCAGGGGAAGCCAGTGGCTGCCTGTCGGGGACACTGCAGTCCCCAGCTGGCTCCTGCCAACAGCCCAGCAGCTACGCCAGGACCTGCACCAGGAGCAAGCGTGAGCTAGAACTTGAACTTGCTCCTGGGGAACAAACAGGGAGAATGACACTGTCCTGTTTACAAAGATCTTAATGGGGCCAGGTGTGGTGGCACACGCCTGCCATCCCAGAGGCTTGGCAAAGACAGGGGGACTGCAAGTTTGAGGCCAGCCTCAGCCACTAAGCAAGGCCCTAAACAACTTATTTAAAAAATCAAAAAGGGGGGCTGGGGATGTGGCTCAAGCGGTAGCGCGCTCGCCTGGCATGCGTGCGGCCCAGGTTCGATCCTCAGCACCACATACCAACAAAGATGTTGTGTCCGCCGAAAACTAAAAAATAAATATTAAAAAAATTCTCTCTCTCTCTCTCTCTCCTCTCTCACTCTCTCTTTAAAAAAAAAAAAAATCAAAAAGGGGATGGAGATGCGGCTCAGTGGTTAATGGCCTTTGGGTTCAATCCCCAGGACCAAATAAAAACAGAACAAATGATAATTGCATGATGGGCTTCATTTTCTATCCTAAAGCTGGGCAACACTTCATCCCACAAATAAGAGAAGAAGGCCGAGTTTGACTTTAAAGCATTTGTAGTTGGAACGAAACCAGAGAAGACCGAGCGTACCTTCCTGTACAAACATGGTCTCCTAGAGCGGGGCCTGCAGCTCCGGGCCCATCCTCTGAGCAACAGGAAACAAAGCCAATGTGCTCTTGCTGGCTCACAGAGGGTCCTGAAAACCCCCAGGGTGCTCCATTTGGGCACAGCTCATGTTAAATGACACAGTGAACACCTGTGGGTGCCTGGGTATGGGTGCCCAGGGTCCAGGGTGCCAGGCCTCGGCTCCAGCCCTGGCGGGGAGCTGCCCAGGGTCCCGGTGGAGAGTGGTGATTTGAATCATGGTCCGACTCCCTCATGGCTGCTTTTGCGCTGGGAACTGCCTGTGCAAAGGTGCAGGTCAACGTGGCCCCGTTGCTATGGTGATGTCTGGCCAGAGGAGGCTAGGTGTGAAGGCAAGCAGCTGTATCAGTCGGAACCTTGGGCTCAGTCACCAACTCCCGGGAATGGAGAATTCTGAGCATAACAAGATGACCCTAATGTCTCGCCAGGCCCACGTCCTTCATGTTGTCTGTTTTGCTGAAACTTTCCCACAAAGAACCTTTTAATGAAACCCCCATAATGAACGTGCTGAGCTAGCTTTGGGTCAGTGGAGCTCCATCAGAGCTTGGCTGTCCACCTGGCCCAGCTTTTTCTGTGTGTCTGTCTTTTCTTTATCCCCATCGCCCCTCATCCAGTTTCTCCCCTGAATTCACGACTGCGGCTGAGAGCAGTGAAGAGAGGGCCGGGCAGTCCCTGACCCCGGGATGAGCTGATGCCGGGCGGGCAGGAGGCCACAGAGTGGACGTGGCACCTAGAGGGAGCTCACCACCCACCTGGGGGAAGGATGGCCTCTAGAGAAGGGTCCAGAGAGGGTGGGGCTGGAGGACCGTGCACAGAGAGGAAGTTTGGGCAAGTGAAGGGCAGGAGCCCAGGGCCAGGCGGCCTCCACCCTCCCCAGCACAGGAGCTGGTAGAGCTAAAGGACCACGGGCCTGGGACAAAAGGCCGCAGGACAGAAAAAGCCCTAAGATGGGATGGGGCCCTCCAGCAGTGGCCCAGGCGTCGGGGGGAGCGGGGACTCGGCGAGGAGGCTGCCCGGGGCTCGGGCTGCAACCCATGCAATGCCGGGAGAGGCGCACGATGAGCTTAGCCTGGGAGAGGTCCGACCCGTCAGAAATGGAGAAAATGACCAGCTGGTGCCGCCCTGGGCCCGGGCCCAGCCCATCAGGAAGGGAAATAGAGGGAGGGTGGTGGCCAGAAAACAGGCTGTCATCCTGGGCCAAGAGAGTCACTGCCGGAGCTGGGCCGGGTGACAAGCAGCACTGACCCCAGCTCACACGCTCCTGAGGCCGAGGACACGGCACGCTCCCCAGCTGTGTGCTCGGCACTGTGCAGAGGAAACATCTGCCCCAGACCCTGGTCACTCAGGGGACAGCCAATGTCTGACGCAAACCCCAGCGGCACCTCTCACCCAGCAATAGCCATCAGCAACTAGCACTCTCTCCTAGCCCAGTGCCACCCTCGTCATCGGAAGGTTAACCGCGGCGCGGCCCACACTGCATTTCTGAGGCAAAACAATGAACTCCCCTCGTTTGGTGCTAGGGATCGAATCCACGGGTGCTTCCACCACTGGGTCACGTCCCCAGCCATTTTTATTTTGTTGAGACAGGGACTCACTCAGTTGCTCAAACTGGCCTCACACTTGCAATCCTCCTGGCTCAGCCTCCCCAGCCTCTGGGATTACAGGCCTGCGCCACCACTCCCAGCTTAACTCCCTTTCACAAACCAGGAAATAAAGGTCCCAAGAGTCGCTGGGACAGTGTAGGACATGGTAATAAACACAGAACCAGGCCTCAAGCCCAAGCCTGACCAGAGGATCAACCCTCAGCCGCGACAGCAGCAAGGAGCGTCCCACTGGGGTGCTGGCTGTATGGCACACGCGCGAAAGGGAGGCCAAGGGGCAGACAGGTCCTGAGCGGCAGCCTGATTGTGGCTGAATGCCATGGGGTGACTTGGTGCTCCCCGCAGCGCACCCTCTGGGCTCACAAGCAGCTTCCCCTCAGTTGGCAGGGAAACGTCATTAGAACCACATGCCCGTGAGGTCGCACTCACACGTGGAAGGATGTCTATGCTGTCCGGGGTGGCCTGGGGGCTCTCAGTCAGCCTGACCCAGGGACCCAGGACTTAGCACGATGCCCTGAGAACAAACCCCAAGCCCCGCCCCTGACCTGGAACACAGGAGGCGGAGCCTTCAAGATGGTGACTCAGTTAGTGCAAGGGTCGGATGGGACCCTCGGAAAAGGGCTCCCACCAAGAACCCCTCCCACCCCGTCCGTCAGTCTCCCAGGTGGGCTCAGGTCCTTCCGTTTCTCCTTCAGACCCTGGAGTCCAGGGAGGCTCCATGGACGTCACGTGGCCCGTCCCCGCTGATGGCTGCCAACAGTGCTCAGGGACCCAGATGCTGGCGCCACAGAAGCCATTAGCGGGAACGCTCCGTGCTTGCCTCCAAACCTGGGGTGACAGAAACAGGTCTCTCCCGAGAGCACCCTGACCAAGGCCTCCACAAATGACGGTCGCCTCCAAAGGTGAAAGGAACGAAGCTGAAGCTGCCGTGTGGCGGGACCCGGGCTCCCTGGGCGCAGCGCCACTCGGGAGGCGATAAGGGCGGCCTTCCAACTCGTCCGTAGTGGGGTTCTGTACTGAGGATTGAGCTCTCTACCCTGAGCGACACCCCCAGGCCTTTCTGTTTTATGAGACAGGTATGGCTACTGAGTTGCTGAGGCAGGCCTCGGCCTGCAGTCCTCCTGCCTGGGCCTCGGCCTCGGAGTCTCTGGATAGGGCTGGACGTCACCCGCCTCGTAACCGTCATAAGCAGCTGAGTCCCGCTGCGCTCTGACTGTCAAAGGGGCTGGTTCCACACATTCAGGCCAGTTCTTTTGCCCCCATGAAACAGACACCTTGACCTTCCAAATAAGTGCTTTATTATTTACAGGGCTCAGGAAAGAGGATCTAGAAAAGAGGAAATTCCAAAATAGGTCTTAGGCCTTCGGTGGGGTCTGGGAAGGGGGTCGTCTGGACAAGGCCCAGCGGGGCTTCCTTCCTGCTGGTGGTCACTTCCAGGTGGAGAGAACGGATCGTCCTGAGTCTCTTGTGCGGCCTGCCCTGGGCCCCAGGGGCTGCCCCGGTCGACTTCTGAGCTCCCGGTCGGCCCCGTCGCCCTGGGCCAGCTCCTCGTCGTACCTGGAAACAGACCACCTCCAGGATCACAGGGGGCTCTGCACATGTCACCGGGAAGCAGCAGGCCTGACCCCTGGCCCCAGTCCCACCTCGCCCAGCTCCAGCCCCTCTGCCCACAGGCAGCTTTAGCGGCCCACAGCCTCGAGGACCACGCAGTTCAACTGCTACTGAGGACAGGGCCCTGTCCCACCCTGCAGTGGACATTTTAACAGGTTCCCAGACAGATGCTGGCAGTGAACACAAATGAGACACCAAGGTTAGCCCCGTGCAGTGACGGGAGGCCCCGCGTCTCCAAACCCTCTGCCCAGCACCCCTGGTAGGGGCCAGAGGCTGACAGGAGGGGACCAGATCAGGCGCACACCTCCTGAGCTACTTTTTACGTTTTGGTTGAGGCAGGGTCTGCTCGATTGCCAAGGCTGGCCTTGAACTTGCGATGTCCCTACCTCAGCCTTCCCTGTCACAAGTCACGGGGATTTCAGGTGTGCACCGCCGCACCTGGCTACTGTCTGGGTTCTAAATAGTATTTTTGTGTGTGTGTGTGTGTGTGTGGTGCGAGGGGTGTTTTTAAAGGCGTGGAACCAGAGCTGGCGGCTCAGACAGACTCTGGGGGGCAGATGCACAAGGCTGGCGTTGTGGTGCCAGGCCAGGGGACAATCTGGGGGCAGCAAGGACACCTGTTTCTGGGCAGCCCCAGTGTGACCCTGGCATGTGAACCTACGCTGCCAGCCTCCGCCCTTCACACTGAAGGTGGCGTGAGCACTGGCAACATGCAGCACAGGGCCTGGCGCGGGGAAGGGCGGGCTTTGAGGACAGAGCCCCTCTTGCCACAGAGCCCTTCTTTCCACTCTGCACGGCCCTGCTCCACAGCCGGGCCATGACGGACACCTGCAGGTCCGGGGCAGGAGCTAGGACTGCCTCCACGGGAGCTGTGCCACCTCACAGCCGGGGGAAGAGGGTGGCTCAACAGACGGGTGACCTTCTTCTTCTCTACGACTAAAAGCAGGGCCCTTACCTCTGCTCCTCGGCCTGGACATGGAACAGCTGGTCACAGGCTGGAGGGGCACAGAGCCCACCCATGTGTTCCCAACCCACCACCTCCCTGCCACCCTGAGCAGGACTGAAGGGGGACCCCTAGGCCCTGGTGCTCCTGGCAGACCTCCCTCACATTGTCCCCACCCTACAGCCCCACTGCAGAGCCACAGATCTGAGCCCGTGGGGGGGCCCTGCAGCTGACATCTGTCACCTCACACCACCCTTGGTTCCCACGCTGCCAATCCAAAGCGGCCCTGGCCAGGGCCCCGTCTGGCCCCTCCCCAAACTCCTGCTGTGCTTCTAGACTCTCCATCCATCCTCAGCCACCTCCATGCAGTGCCGGGGCCATCTTTTCATGTCACAGCATGAGGGGACCACACTTCAGGGGGACTCCTCTCCTCAGGGGCTGGCAGGGTGTGGAACACGTGGAGCACGCTTGTGGAGCACGCGGCGAGCACGCGGCGAGCACGCGGAGATCGGCCACGAGAGGCGGCTCCCTCCAGCCCAGGACAGGCTCTTGCTCCAGTTTACGAAGTGCCCACGGACAGGAGCTCCCCGGCGTCACACGCCCTGAGGGGGCGCCCAGTGCCAGGTCCACCGGGCTCCCAGCTGTCCCAGACCCCCCAGTGCCTGAGCTCTGCTGTGAGCCCTGCCGCGGCATCATGAATGAGACGCTCTGCCTCCAACACCCACGGAGACAACTCACAGGACAACTGCAGGGCCACACGCGACTTACAGAATTTCGTAATTCCCAAGAACTTCCTTTGGAGGGGACTTGTTCCATTTGCAGTCTGGGATTTCGCCGTTGGGGACAGCGATGTTGAGGGTGTCGTTAATGAGGTTGTACTTGAGGATCCGGTCGTTGGCAGTGCTGGAGGTGAGGGACGGGGACGCGTTTACCTAAGAGAGGAAAACCACAGTCTGCACCGTGCCCTCGCTCCTCCAGGCCCGCGGGAGAGGACACGGCTGCCACCCGGTTTAGGTGGCCGTCATGGCTGAAGATGACTTTATGACACTTTACTAACACTATTTAATGTTCCCGTCTTGTATGAGGAACATTTTGTGATCTAATTTTATTAGCTGTTAGATAAAGCAGAACTGATATTGAAAAACACGATTAGGATCAGAATCCTCAAATCAGCTATCACACCCATAAAACCCTGGGGTCAGCATAAATATAACTTGATGTCACCTCAAATCACACTCTGCTATGTCCTGAGTACCAAAAGCCACCCAGAACCAGGTCAGCGGCCCAGAGGACCCTGACACACAGCAGCATGGGGTTGGAGGTAAAGGCCTTCCTTTTTTATCAAAGAGCCACTCCTCACCAGGAAGCAGCACTCTGACTCAAGTGGGGACCTGCTGACACACAGGAGCGGGTACCCCAAAGCCTCTGAGCACCGAGGCAAGCCCCAAATCCCACAGGTGAAATGGTTACCCCCAGGCCCTGGGGGACAGAGGCGGCAGACCTGTGACGAGTCAGGTTTCTCCCAGTCAGAGAGCAGCTGGCCCAGCCCCTCAAGGAGGTCACAGGCTGGAGGGGCACAGGACCTGTGCGGCTGGCAGGGGGTCTACTGTAGACACCATCAGGAATCCTAGGATCTCAGCTGCCTTTAAAATTACCACTGTCGGCTGGGGACAGAGGCGCACGCCTGTAATCCCAGTGGCTCAGGAGGCTGAGGCAGGAGGATCAAAAGTTCAAAGCAGCCTCAGCAACTTAGTGAGGCCCTGAGCAACTTAGTAAGACCCTGTGTCACATATCAGCTAAGTGCTCTACCTCTGAGCCACAACCACAGTCCCAGTAAGACACTGTCTCCAAAAATAAATAGGACTGAGGATGTGGCACAGTGTTTTAAGTGCCCCTGGGTTCAGTCCCCAATTCAAAAAAAAAAATTAAAAATAAGCTGGGCGCGGTGGCACACGCCTGTAATCCCAGCAGCTCTTGAGGCTGAGGCAGGAGGATCTCGAGTCCAAAGTCAGCCTCAGGAAAAGCAAGGCCCTAAGCAACTTAGCAAGACCCTGACTCTAAATAAAATATATTTAAAAAAAGGGCTGGAGATGTGGCTCAGTGGTTGAGTGCCCCTGGCTTCAATTCCTAGTACAAATAAATAGATAATAAAAATCATGGGCTGTGGATGTGGCTCAAGCGGTAGCGGCGCTCGCCTGGCATGCGTGTGGCCCGGGTTCGATCCTCAGCACCACACACAAACAAAGATATTGTGTCTGCCAAGAACTAAAAAAAATAAATATTAAGAAAATCAATTAATCAATCAATCAATAATTTTTAAAAGAAAAGAAATAAATAATGGTCCAGCTGGATATGGTGGTACATGCCTATAATTCCAGCTACGAGGGAGGCTGAGGCAGGAGAGTCGTAAGCTTGAGGCCAGCCTGGGCAACTCTCTGTCTCAAAGAAAAAAGAAAAAGAAATTAAAAAGGGCTGGGGGTGTGGCTCAATGGTAGAGCAGCCCTGGGAAATCCCAGTGCCAAAGAAAAAAGAAAAAAAAAAAAAAAAGGGCTGGGGGTGTGGCTCAATGGTAGAGCAGCCCTGGGAAATCCCAGTGCCACACATACACATGAAACAGAAAAAAATGGCTACATTTAGGATCCTACTCATAAGGGAAAGCTTAGCTCCCATTCAAGATACTCCGCTTAAGATGCAGGAAAAAAGCACACGTTATACACCTACCTCCCGCCCCCCCCCAACACACAGAGCTTGGGCAGCAGAGCAAGGGAGGTCCCTGGAAGACCCCGGAACACAGCCAGCCTGTGCGCAGGAATCTGGGCTCTTCCAGCAGCCGCTGGGGGGCTCTCTGACTTTCCTAACCCCCCCTGCCCTACGACTCAGGAGGACCCAGGGCTCAGGACTCGGCCTGAGCTCCACCTGCACAGGAGCCTGGTGAGGAGACACGCTGAGCGAAACGTACCCCTGCACCCCTGGCACAGCCACCATGGGTCCTCCCTGTTCCTGGGAATAGACAGATCAACCCACTTCCAAACTGCCTTCCTACAGGCCCAGGAGAGCCAGAGCTTCCCTGACCTCGGGACAGCAGACTCCTGCTGACAGAGCGCTTGGAGGTTTGCAGCCCCCTCCCTGGAGAGGAGCGGCCCCCATGAGGACTCAAGGGACAGGGTGCAGGGCTGCTGGAGCACCAACAGCCTTGAAGCTCCCGAGGCTTGAGGGTCCTGGTCACCAAGCTCCGCGCTCACCTGGAGAGGGACCCCAGCCCCACCACACTCCCAGATGGGGCTCAGGGGAGGGAAGGGTCCCGGGGTGCACTCCTGGCTGCCCAACCCGAGCCTCTGTCCCAGTCCTCCTGCCCAGCCTGGGGAACGCTGGCCGGGGCCGCTGGGCGCATGCTGGGCAGCCTGAGGGCGGGCTGCAGAGGCGAGCCCAGTGCAGGGTCCCAATCCCCCGCAGTTACCTCGATCAGCCAGGGCTTCAGCTTGTCGTCGATGATGATGTCGTAGCCGTAGCACTCGAAGCAGTGCTTGTCATTGTTCATCACGGGCTGCGAGAAGAGACAGCAGTTACCCAGCTGGTGTCACACCTCAGGCCTCCCACAGCCCTGGCTTCCTGTGACCAGGTTCCTCCCTTTGTTCCCAGGGCTTAGAGATGGAACCTGCCTCCACCCAACAGGGACCAGGGAAGCAATAACTGTCTCCACATCCTGCGGGCCAGAGGCTCCCCACGGTCAGCCAGTGAGACTGTCCTGGCCACACAAGTCCAGCCTGGGCACTGGGGAGAAGGCCCACGCAGCCTGCACAGACACACGCTGGCCACTAGAGACTCCCACTTCCTCCCAGCCCTGTGCCACCTGAGTGTCCCACTACGAAGCTCTGCTTCCAGTGATGAGTCAGTCCACTCGCTTACAGTTTCTCAGGGTCCTTGTGACAATCAGTCCCATTCCACTTCCACATCCCTCACCTGAACTACTCCAAGAATGTTAGAAACAACCCAGCCGGGCATGGCGCACGCCTGGAATCCCAGCAAATTGGGAGGCTGAGGCAGGAGGATCACAAATTCAAGACCAGAAGCAGCAACTTAGCAAGGCCTTAAGTCACTTAAAGGTGGGGGGGGGGAGGTGCTCAGTGATTAAAGTACAAACAAAACAAACCCACCCGGCTCCTGGCTCACTGTGCAAATTCCTGGTCCTCCCCCTGGACACCACCCAAGGAGTGGCCCAGGGTCAGTAGTTCCACACGCCCTTCGGGGACTCTTGTGCACCCCACCAGTGAACCCCAGAGACAAGCAGGTGAGGCCTTTTCATCCCTTGGTGGCAAGTGGCTCTGCTTAAACAAAACCCTTGATTTCAGTGGAAAGTCTCAGGGGACCCAGCCTGGGACCCCTCCTCATTCACTGAGGGAGGGAAGCCGGGCGGCAGTGGGTGGCTTCCTGGTGGAATCACGTCACCACTGAAAGCCTGACATCAGGAGTCTTTCTTGGTCAACGAGCCAGCGTTCCCCAAAGCCCCACCACTCCAGGGGGGTCTGCAGTGGCTGGAAGCAACTGAGAGGGCGGCTTGCCCAGGACGCACCCCGGATTATTCCTGTAATCCCAGCCACTCAGAGCTAAGGCGGGAGGACCCTAAAGCCAAGGCCAGCCTCAGCAACTCAGCAAGACCATGTCCCCAAACCAAAAACAAAAAAAGGCCGGGGTGTGGCTCAGTGGTAGAACCACCCTGAGTTCAGTTGCTGGCACCAGGGGAAAATAAATAGACAAATAATGGCACCTTGGCTGGGGTTGTGGCTCAACGGTAGAGCACTCACCTAGCATGTGCGAGGTCCTGGGTTCGATCCTCAGCACCACGTAAAGATAAATAAATAAAATAAAGGTACTGTATCCAACTACAATTGAAAAATACACATTAAAAATAAATAATAGCACCTAACTCCTCTGGGTCAGTAAGCTGACCTCAGGGCACTGTTCACAAGCCCCGTGACACTGGTGTCTGGCTCAGCTCACTATGTAAGTCTCAGACTCAGAACAGGCAGGTACGAGGCTTAAAGCACAGCTGAGCTGGCACCCCCTCACGACCTGCCACGGAGTCAGAGGGACAGGCTTCTGTCAATGCAGCAGGACGAGTGCCAGCAATGACCCAGCTCCTGGGTCTTTCTCCTCCGAATTGTCAACACAAACCAATGATGAAGCCCGCGATCAACCGCACAGCGCTCAGAGCTCCTTGGAGAGCAGGAAATACATCACTCTAGACCTGGAAAGGCCCCGGGTCACCTTTTCCTGTCTCAGGCCTTCTTCAGGTGACTTCTGTGACGTGCCTTTCCAGCCACACAGGCAGGAGGGGGCGGCGGCCCACACTCCAGGAGGTCTCCCTGGGGGTCTCCATGGAGGTCTCCACCGGAGTCTCCAATGGAGGGTTGCAGATGCGCCCCACGCTCAGCCCAAGCCTCTGAGCACGGCGACTTCACAGACCGGCGCTCGCAGCAGGGCTCCTCCCCAGGCCCTCGGTCTGCGGGCCCCGTGCTGCAGTCTGGTGTGGTTCTTTGGCTCTTCAACTTGATTTCTTAAGCTTCTGAAGATTTTTCTTTAATATGTTTTTAGTTGTAGGTGGACAGAATACTCGAGCCACAACCCCAGCCCCACTTCTGAAGATTTGTAAAGTACCTTTCTTAAAAGACTAGGATGTGAGGGGCTGGGGATGTGGCTCAGGCGGTGGCGCGCTCGCCTGGCATGCGTGCAGCCTGGGTTCGATCCTCAGCACCACATACCAACAAAGATGTTGTGTCTGCCAAATACTAAAAAATAAATATTAAAATTCTCTCTCTCTCTCTCTCTAAAAAAAAAAAAAAAAAGACTAGGATGTGGCCGGCACCCTCCAACAACATTCCATGGCTACATGTCCTTGGTCCCACACCTGAGTGGGGGAGGGCGCGTCAGAGGCCAGCTCAGCAGCAAGACCATGAGACCAGGTGGAGGGGCCCAGTCTCCGGTGGGGCCTCGGCAGTGGGCTGGTGCCTCCCGACCCTCACTGGTGGGGTGGAGGACTGCCGGGCCTTGAGCCAATGCCAGGCCCCCCGCTTCCTAGCTCTAGGGCTCGAGCCCCATTTTCTCGTGCGTGATGTCGGGGTAATCAGACACCTCAGAGACCATCTGTGAAGCCCGAGGTGAGGGCCGGCATGGGGGCTCTAAGCACTCTTCCTCTCCCCCCCAGGACAGGTGCGCGCCGGCTTCAGAGCGACACAAGCAGCCAACAGAAGAGCGGAGGAGGAGCAGGTCAGCTCCAAATGTTCATGCAGCAGCGGGGACTGGAGCCAGACAGGAGGGTCCACCTCCACCCCTCGCTTCCCACGGAAACATTCACCCGGAGCCGTGGGCACAGGGAGAGCCGAGGATGGTGTCGGGGCGCCCGGGCTGCCACAGAGGGTGCAGGGCCACACGTGGGAAGCTGGACCCAGCTCACTGAGCAGCGACGCCCTGAGGGGGCCTCTGGCTGACCCCCAGGCAGTGAGGACGGGAACACGGGGGTATTTTTAGCAAAACAACCAGAGCAGCCCGGTGGTGAGCACGGCCAGCTCCTGAGGGCCTTCGTCCCGGTGCCCACCTGGCCCCTGAACCTGGCACTCACCGCCACAGCCTTCAGGGACTGCACGATGATCCAGTGGATCTCGTCAAACAGCTTGCTGGTCACCTCTTTGCCGCGGGTGCTCTCCAGGTACAGCCGCAGGTTGCTCACGGTCCACTTGCCCCCGTGGATGTGGTTGTAGTCCTCCTAGTGACAGAAAACGGGGACAGGGCACCTTCCAGCAATGCACCTGAGGAACCCAGCCACCTGCTCTCGTCCCTCCAAGGTCATTTGAGTGCTTCTGGTGTGGGCAGATGGGTTCCCTGCCTGGCAGAGCTCCAAGCCTCCTAAAGCCCAGCGCTACAGCATTCTCATAACCGACCTCACAGCCCATGTTGTGGAGGGCCACCCAGGCCCCCTTCAAGACCAGGGCACTCCTGCCGCAGCAGAGACCCTCCAGGAAGCTGCCTCATCCAAGGTCATGCCTGGCAGGGCCTGGTGGATGCCAGCGTGGGCCCTCTCCCTGCTCCTGCACAGTTAGGTGGGCACCCAGCTCCACAGCGCCACCTGGTGCCAGCTGGCGCCTCTGCTGCAGCTGCGTCGGCTCCCCTCGCAGTGTCCTGGCCTTGCCCACCTCCCTGCTTCACGTCCTGAGGATGAGCCCCACACCTCCTGCCCGCAGATCTCTGCCTCAGTCTTTCTCCTGGAAAAGCCAGGCCAAGACACATGTGTGCTAGGCCCTTCACTCAAAAACACCATGCGTGGCCCGGCGCACGGCACATGCCTGTGATCCTAGTGACGTGGGAGGCCGAGGCAGGAGGACTGCAAATTCGGGGCCAACATCACTTAGCAAGGCCCTGTCTCAAAATAAAAAAATAAACAAGTTAGCAGGGCTGGGGGTGTAGCTCAGTGGCAGAGCACCTGCCTCACACGCATAAGGCCCTGGGTTCCATCCTTAGCACCACATAAAAATAAATAAAAATAAAGGCATCGTGTCTATCTACAACTAAAAAAAGAAAAAAGAAAGAAAAAACTCCGCACATGTAATTCTCTAACAAGCCTGCGATGTCACCAATGCGGCCTCGATTCATGAGCAAGGTGATGGACTCAGAGTGGCTGCCATGTGCCCAAGCTTTCATCCTGGGCCGGGGTGGAGCAGGCCCCAGGGTTCCTGAAGCCGGCTCAGCACTCCTCCTGTCCCCCCATCCCTGCCGATCCGTTCTCTCCATACCACTACATTTGAAGGGGCTCCATCCTGACTAGCTGACCCCACTGTGCCCCCGGCTCCGCCTGGCCATGGGGACTTTCTTTCCCCTCTGAGCCCCCCGAGTCATCTCTCCTGTGGTCACCTGCAATCCAGGGACGCAGGTCTGACCCATAAACACCTCATGAGGAGGACCAGAAGCCCCACCCCCAAGCACCAGTGACCTTGTCAGTGCCAACAAAGCTCTTACGTGGATCCTGAGCCGTGGAGCAGGACGGCCTGCTGTGCCAGCTCTGCAGACCCCAAGCCTAGCCCCCCTTGCCCTCCACCAGCCCCTGGAGACAGAGCCCAGGCGCAAGACCTCTCTGTTCTTCCTGGCGTAGCCACACCCACAACAAAGCTCCCTCCCTGACCCCACCACGGCTCCTCCCTAGGACTGGCTTTGGGGACCAGTGGCTGACCCTCGTCCCACAGCCAGGGGCTTCCCTCTTACACTGGTGACACAAAGGCATCAGGAGGTTATGAGTCTGGGATTTCATTTTCAAAGCAAGAGGTTGAGAACTGTGAAACCACCCCACCAGCCTCACAGGAGGGCGCAGAGCCGTGATGCTCAGCGGGCGAGGTGGGGTGTGGCTTTGTGTGTGTGGCACTGGGGATTGAACCCAGGGGTGCCTTACCCCTGAGCTACAGCTACAGCCCTTTCGATTACTATTTTAATTTTGAGATGGGATCTTGCTGTATTGCTAAAACTGGCCTCAGACTCGCAAGCCTCCTCCTTAGCCTTCTGAGTCACTGGGATGACGGGGACTGGCTTTTTATTAGGGCAACATTATACACAGTAGCTGGATGCATCTTGACAAGATCACGCAGGCATGGAGTTTGATTTCACTCCCCACTCCTCCCTTATTTTTAAGAAATATGTAAAAATTTTTTTTTAAGTCTTTTGTAGGTGGACACAATACCTTTATTTTATTTTTATGTGGTGCTAAGGATTGAACCCAGTGCCTCTAGGCGAGTGCTCTACCACTGAGTCACCACCCCAACCCCTCCTCCCCTTATTTTACTTTTTATTTTTTGTATCAGGGACTGAACCCAGGGGCACTCGACCACTGAGCCACATCCCCATCTCTATTTTGTATTTTATTTAGAGTCTCACTGAGTTGATTAGTGCCTCGCCATTGCTGAGGCTGGCTTTGAATTTGCAATCCTCCTGCCTCAGCCTCCTGATCTGCTGGGATGACAGGCGAGTGCCACCGCGTCCGGCTTCCTCTCCTTATTTTGATGCATTTTCTAACCTATATTCCAACGTCAGACAGATCTATGAGACGCGACGACCTCATCGTAGCAGAAGGAGCCTCTTAATACTATTATTTCCTTTTATTGTTGGACAAACTAAGTAAGGCTTAAGGTTGAACGTGCTTGTCCAAGGTCCCAGAACTAGAAAGGGGGACCTGCACCTGTGGCCTCCTCTCTCCCAGAGCCTCCCCCTCTTGTCTTCCCCGAAGCAAGCGCTTGGCCCCCATCCCCTGGCGCCAGGGCCTCGGGCCAGGATGCACCCTCCCCACCACCCCTGGGCCACCTGTCCTCTCCTGCGGACACAGGAAAGCAGCCCCCGCAGCAGGAGCAGAAGGACACTCACCCCGTGCTTCTGGATGGCCACGTTGGTGAGGTGGACGAACATGTTGTCCAGCTCGCTGGTGCTCGGGGTGTACTTCACGGTGCAAAACCGGCAAAATCCCAGCTTATACCTGGGGGGAGTTCAACCGACTCAGACTCTGAGGACTAGAAGGAATGGCTTTTGCTTTAACGTTTAAAGGAGCTGCCCTCTTGTTTGTGGGACTCACAGTGGCATCGAGGCCAGTGGCTCTTATTTTCCCAGCACCCACCTGAGCACCCACTGTTTCACTAAATCCCTCGCCTCACTGTGGTGCTAAGCAGGAGGCCGAGGCAGGCTAAGATGCACACCAGCAAGAGGCAAGGCCCGGCTCTTACATGTAACAGCGCAGCGGGCGGTAGGTGGACACCAGGACGTACAGGCGCAGGTCAAACTTCCTCCCGCCGATGAGCAAGGGGTTGCTGATGTACAGCGAGATCACATAGGCCTCCTTGGTGGACTGAGACACGAACCTGCGCACCGAGAAGGTAGAAGACGGTATTGGCACGACCCATCAAAGAGTGAACCGATGGACCCGGCCTCATAGGACTTAGAGATTCTGGGCTAGAAAGAGCTCAGTGGTAAAGCACTGGTTTATCTAAAGCCCTGAGTTTAAGCCCCAGTCCTGGAAAACAAGATTTCTGTAAAATACACCATCAAGAAAAGATAAAGATGGGCTGGGGTTGTGGCTCAGCGGTAGAGCACTCGCCTAGCACGTGTGAGGCCCTGGGTTCGATCCTCAGCACCACATAAAAATAAATGCATAAACTAAAGATACTGTGTCCAACTACAGCTAAAAAATAAATATTCAAAAAAAGAAAATATAAAGACAAGCACAAACTGGGAAGAAATATGCTCAAAAGACATATCTGACAAAGGACGGTTATCCCCAAATACAAAGAACGCTAAAACCCAACAATAATATCAACATTTAGAGACGGATCAAGACCTTAAAGGTCTCTCAGCAAAGATAGGCACATGGTGGCGACTACGCACAGGAAGAGACGCTCCACCTCTGACGCCACCAGGAGGGCACGTTAAACCACCTGTGAAGGGTCACACCAAGCGCCCACCAGGACACGGAGCAACAGGCCAGGACTCACGGCTGGCAGTGCAAAGTGGGGCAGCCGCTTTGGAAGACGGTTTGGAGGCTGTGCTTTGGCACTGGGGATTGAACCCAGGGTGCTCTAGCACTGAGCTCCATCTCCCGCCCTTTTTTTTATTTTGATAGAGTCTTGCTGAGTTGCTGAGGCTGGCCTTGACCTTGTGATCCTCCTCCATCAGCCTCCTGAATTGCTAGGACTGCAATTGCTAGGTGTGCCACCATATTCAGCTCATCAGGAACTTTCTAAAGAAACTAAACATACTCTGCCACAGGTCTACCAATCAGACCCCTGGGCGTCTCCCCAGAGGAGCTGAGAACACATGTCCCTGCAAACATTGTGTTTGGACCCTGGATCTTTACGGCAGCTTGTTCATAACTCCCCCAGACCAGGAAGCAACCGAGATGTCCTTCAGCAAGTGAGGGACAATAATCTGTGGTCCATGCAGATAACGGGATATTAATCAGTAGGACAAAGAAAGAATCAAGCCAGGAGAAGACGTAGACGCCTACTATGCACTTATGAGAAAGCTTAACGCACGTTGCTCACAACTGAAGCCGAGGTGAAAGGCTAGATGTGGCAGGATTCCTCCTCGGTGGCACTAGGGAAAAGGCAAGGGGACAGCACAAAGACCAGAGGCTGCCAGAGGCTGGGGGGAGGGGCAGGAGCGGCTGAGCACCCAGGGCTGGGGGGGGGGGGGAAAGCTGAATCTTCTGTTCAGCTGGTTTTTTAATTGTCTCATTGTAGTTGACACAATACCTTTATTTTATTTATTTATGTGGTGCTGAAGACCGAACCCAGGGCCTCACAGGTGCGAGGCAAGTGCTTTACCCCTGAGCCACCACCCAGCCCTGTCTTCTGCTCAGCTTAGCAGTGAGTCCAAAACCGCTCTGAAAGTACTAAATTCTTTGGGTTTTTTTTTTCCTGGTACCAGGGATTGAACTCGGGGGCACTCGACCACTGAGCCACATCCCAGCCCTATTTTGTATGTATTAGAGACAGGGTCTCACTGAGCTGCTTAGGGCCTCGCCATGGCTGAGGCTGGCTTTGAATTGGAGATCCTCCTGCCTTGGCCTTCTGAGCCGCAGGGATAACACGGGTGTGCCACTGCGCCCGGCTGAGATCTTGTCAGCAAAGAGCAAAGGTACATTCAGTTGGTCACCAGCCCCTGCCTCCCAGAGAGAGACCCTGGTTCATCAGGGGACACTGGGGTGACAGGGATTCAGGGAGACAGTGGGAGGACTGCAGCACAGCCCCTGGGAGCCCCTGGGGAGCCGGCCTGGGGACAGAAAGGTGCGGTCAGATTTAAGTGCACTACCCACGAGTCCCCCCAACTTCCCTGGGATCTCTTGATACGTGAGACATCACCCCACTGGGAGAGGATCACACCAGGCCTTGCTCCAGGGCCCCGGGCACTTGAGAGCCACTGAGGATACCCCAAGGGCAGAGAGGAGCCGGGAAGAATCTGGACTTGACCTACAACCAGCACCAGAACCCTGCCGGCCTCTGGCTCCACCCGTGACTCATCCCACTCCAAGGCAGCGGTGTCACTAGTGCCCGAGTTTAAACTAGGTACAGAAGCAGGCACTGCTGGGCACGGTGGCACACCTGCAATCCCACGCCTCAGAAGGCAGAGGTGGGAGGACCCCAAGTTTGAGGCCAGCCTCAGCAACTTAGGGAGACCTTGTCTCAAAATAAAAAATAAAAAGGGCTGGGGATGTGGCTCCATGGTGGTGCACCCCGAGTTCGACTCTAAGCACCAAACCAAACCAAACGAGAAAATACCAAAAGAATTCAGCTAGCGAGAGTAGGATTCAAACCCGAGGTCTGAGGCGCCAGCCTCGACGCCTGGCTCCTGTGCCCTGGCGGGCCTCCCGCCAGCCTGGGACCAGTCACCCCAGGGAGAGTCTGGTTGACACTATCACAGCCACAGGCCCTGCTGGGTCACCACACCACAAGTGACACGCAGCTGGAAAGCAAGCCAGGGTCAGCCCGCTCGCGGCCCAGGGACTGAGGATGCCAGTGCTAACCCTAACCCAGCCCGGACGGGGCGCCGCGCACGCACGTGGACGTCTTGCTGTCCCGGGACCACTTCTTGATCTGCGAGAGCTTGTTGATGAGGAAGATGCCCTTGCCCTGGGCTTTGCCGCAAGGCTTCATGATCCAGGTGCTGGACGGGCTCTTCCGGAACTCCTCCACGAACAGGTTGTAGTCGGCGGGCAGCATGTAGGTGACTGGCACGAAGTCTGGAAGGGGAAGCCCAGCGCCGTGAGTGGCAGCCCACGGGCCCGAAACGGGAAGCCACTGCCTCTAGCACTTGTCGTCCCCCGTCCCCACCCGGTCCCCACCACCAGGGCCTCACACGACGAAGACTCGGCCACTGGAGTCCTGTGCAGGCCCAGTTCCCCTCACTGGGCCCCGAGTGTCCCGACTTTACAGCTCGCACCCCCACTCGGCAGATGAGGAAACCGCGGCCCGGGACATAAAGGGACAGTTGACCATCCCACAGCCGCCTCCATCACCAGGTGGGGCAGGGACACAGCGTCCTGCTGCGGCTGGAGGAGCGGGGACCCACCCTAGCAGGCAGCCAGGTATCTCCTATGCACGGGCACCGAGCACACCCTCCGGCCATCCGTGGCCTAACCCACCCGCCAGACACCAAGGGGACAGAGGAGCCACAGACCCGCACCTACACCTTCTCCCAGCTGAGCCAGCACCCCCAGCTCAGGGTCCCTCCCGATGAGAACTCAGCTACTGACGACCAGTGGAAGGTGCCCACCCAGGTAGAGGTATTTCCCGTTCTCGTCCTTCTCGGCCAGGGGGCTCCCGTCCTTCTCCAGCTCCTTCCGGTACCTCTTGATGTTCTTCACCATCAGATCCTTGCGGGTGAGCTCGTAGTGGTTGGGGAAGTGGTTGACGATCTGGTCGTCCGAGAGCCGGTACCCCGTCTCCACGCTGAACACATTCCGGATGGTCTGCACGCTCATCCTGAAACAGAGCTCAGAGGGCTAAGGCCGCCAGTCCCCCACAGCCCCGCGGAGCCCTGGCCGCCACCCCTTGTGCCCCAGTGTGCAGGCACTGGACGGGACCTGACTGTGAGGCAGGAGCTGCTTTGATTCTGCCGAGGTAGGAGCCTAATAAATGCTCACGGCTCAGTGACAACATTGCAAACAAGTGCAGTTCGAACCCTTTCAGACTCTAGGGAACCTCCCTCACACAGATCTGCACCCCAATTCAGAAAGATCATTGACCTTTAAGGACGAAATCACAGGGGTTGGTCAGGCACAGTGACACACACCTGTAATCCCCGCAGCTCAGGAGGCTGAGGCAGGAGGATCACAAGTTCAAAACCAGCCTCAGCAACTTAGTGAAGCCCTAAGCAGCTCAGGGAGACCCTATCTCTAAGCACCACCAGTTTCAATCCCCAGTACCAAAAATTGAAAAATGAAATCACAAGGTTATCTGAGGGCCCTGAGTTAGCACATCATACTCTTGGAAGGCTCACAGAGGAAGGGGCGATGGTAGAAGAGATGCTTCACATTTTATCACCATCCCTGTGGTGCTGGGGATGAACCCAAGGCCTTGCACGTGCCAGGCTCCACCATGGAGCAACAACCCCCCCTTCTATTTTTTATTTTGACACAGAGCCTCACTAAGTTGCCCATGCTGGCCTTGAACTTGTGATCCTCCTACCTCAGCCTCCCAAGTGACTGGGACACGGCCTGGCCACCAGCCTGGGCTCTTACTTCTCTTCTAGTCCTTGTCCTCTCTCTTCCTTCTTTCTCTTTCTCTTCCATGCAACTCCTTTGTCAAGGACATCGGTCCTTGTCCTGCGGGATTCACCCAGGCTCCTCATTCACATGTCCCCCGTCCCTGACCTCCTAGGAACCGCCAACCAGCCTCGAGGGCTGATGAGCAGATCTTTTGGCCGGGCTGCCTCCCACGTGGCGTGTACACGGTCAGCGGAAACGTGCGGCTTGGGGTCTCCTTCTGGGATGTCAGTGATGGGCAAGCCCCACCGGCCAGCACTGTCCCCACTGTCCAGCAGACATGGAATGAGCCACGTGTGGAACCATGAATCCTCTGGTAAGGTGGGGGCTGGGGGTGTAGCTCAGGGGTCTTCTGCACGCACAAGGCCCTGGCTCTGTCTCTTGTACAACTAAACTAATAGACAAGTTTTAAAAAATGTTACAAGAGCTGGGCACAGTGGCCATGCCTGTGATCCCCGCGGCTCAGGAGGCTGAGGCAGGAGGACCGCAAGTTCAAAGCCAGCCTCAGCAACTTAGTGAGGTGCTAAGCAACTCAGCGAGACCCTGTCTCCAAATAAAATACAAAAAGGGCTGGGACATGGCTCAGTGGTTGAGTGCCCCTGAGTTCAATCCCCAGTACCTCCCCAGAAAAAACAGGTGAGAAAAACCGTCCTAATACATCTTATTTAATCCAATATGTCGAAAATATTATCAGCTGAACATAAAGACTACGATGAGAAACCACAGTTCTCTTCCCGTGGCCGTCCTCTACCTCCCCCTGCTCCGTCGTTACCAGCAGCAACAGTCCTGCAAGATCCCCTCATCCACAGCAGGTACCCTAAGAGCAGCTCGTTCAGCAGAGGAAATCCTGCGCGACCTGTTCCCTTCACTGGCCAGTCTTCAAGATCACAGCTGGGCCCCGCACCCCTCCAGGTGTGCGGCCAGCAGCTCCCTGGTCCCGGCCACTGCGGTGCCTTTCACCCAAAGCGACTTAGGCCAAGGGCCATTCCACTGGCCTCTTAGTCAGGAACCAGGGCAGGGCCCGGCTGAGCACTCGGACTGAGGTCACCCATCAGCTTTCCGCAGGCACACGGGCTGTCCTCCCAGCCCCAGGGACGGTCCTTACTACGCTCGTCTTACTGATCGTTACAGAAGCTTCCAAACCGCACTGTAACTGTAGGTTTAGTGCCTGAGCTGAACCTACTGGACCTCAGTCCACTCAGCTGAAGCACTGGACCTTTCCCACGCTGTTGAACGGAGTGGCTCCACTGTGACCCTGACCGACTCCGAACCTGCTGTTAGCACCCAGGAGCAAAGGTCAAGCTAGGGCTGGGCTGGGGCTCAGGGGCAGAGCGCTTGCCTCGCATGTGTGAGGCACCACACAAAAATAGATAGACACTGTGTGCTCATCTACAACTAAACAATTTTAAAAAAGATAAAGTTGAACCAATGGCTGCAGCCTGCGTCTCTGGCTGGGCCTCTCTTGTGCTTCTTGCTGTTAGGAACAGCTGGAAGCCCGCGGTGGCATCACACCTGTGGTCTACTAGCCCAGCACTGATGCGGAAGGCTGGCGTGAGCACAGGAGTTGGGGGCCAGCCTGGGCAGCGTAGAGAGACCCCAGCAGAATGTTTCTATTCCACATGGAGAAGGAGGCGCTCGAGCACCCATGACCCGGTGAGAGCCGCGGGTGAATTCAGAGAGCACTGGGTGGCCCGGGCAACACACTTGGAACGGAAAGTTACAAGTCACTGTCCAATTCAGTCTTTCCTTTCAGAGCACCTATTAAACAAGGCTCTGGAGGATTAGAGCTGCCCCTCGGCATCTGCAGGGAGCTGTTCCAAGACTTATGAGGGTGCTCAGGTCCCCTAGATAAAAGGGTGCTTGCTATGTTTGCACAGGGCCTTTGCACCCCCCCACTTTAAATCACCTCTAGATCACTTCCAATGCTCATGCGAAGGCAACCCATGTACACAGTTATACTCTATCATTTAGGGAATAATTACAAGAAGAAAAAGTGAATGTTTGGTACTGCTGCAATTTTCTTTTCCAAATATTTTTGACCCAGGGTTAGTTGAGTCTGCAGGGGCGGAACCTGAGGGTCCACGGGGCAGACGGTTCTGCACTTTACCTGGCAGGGTGAACCCAGGTGCCGAAGCACCCCGGAGCGCTCCCCAGTCGGCACTCCACATTCCTGGACGAAATCTGGCTGTGACTGGTCGTGCAGGTAACCAGGTAAGGGGCACTCTCGTCAGAAGCAATGCCCAGTCATCGCTCACAGACTGTTGGTACAGAAGCTGACCACGGGCCCGCTGGGTGCCCAGGCCCCTGCCAGCCTCTGGGGACTCTGGCACAGCCAGGCAGGATCCTCGCTCTAAAGGGTCTCAGAACCATGTAAAGAGGACACAGATGGGGACACCAATCCCAGGACACTCGCGGTCCTGCCACCAGATAAGGCAAACTGTGAGCCTCGGAGAGGCAAAGACGGGCTCAGGGGCAGCGTGTGGACTTGCTCACGAGCGCCCACCTCAGGCCAGACCACCCCAAGCCCCACTTTACAGAGACTCTGAAACCTCCAACAACCGGATCTGAAGAGACACCAAGCTCTGGCCACCGGCCAAACGCAGAGGGTGGCCACACACAGAGAGGCGGAGTGAGGTGTGAACAGAGGGAGAATCGGGTTCCAGTCTGGATGGGCACCTGTGAACGATGGGCTGAGGTTCGCCAGGTGTGTGTGCGCGCGTGTGCACGGGGGTGGGGGGGCACAGCGCGGGTGAGCAAGGTCACGGCAGGGGAACAGTGAGGAGCTGGGGGCAGCGGGGAGAAGGACAGTGGCTGAGGGAGGGAGGACCATCTCTCGGGTCAGCACTGGGCCAGCGAGTCTGAGGCGGGGACAGGTGTGGGGTGAGACCCCTGCTCGCCCACCTGGGCCCACTCCTCCAAGAATCACTGCACTGCTCTGGGCAGCTGCAGGTGACTGGGAGGGCAGAGAGCGTGACCTGGTTTGCATTCTGGTGTGTGACGCTGTCAGAGGGTGGAGGCCGACCCCTGATCAGGAGGCCCATTCAGAGATGATGGTCAACCGGAGGGAGGAGCAGACCAGGCCCCCACCGTGGCCACCACAGGAGGAACAAGAGGAAGGAGGGTGGAGGAGGACATGGGACCTATTCAACAAGCAGGGAGGGACATCTACAGGACCCTGGCCACTGGAGCCAACGCCCACA